GTGGGGGGTGGGGAGGGGGGGATGCAGGAAGCGGGAAGCAAAGCAGCCTTTAACGAAAGTAATAATCACCACAGCCATGGTCACTGACTGTCCCTGGAGGAAGGTGTCACACAGGGATCAAATGAGTGAGGGACCACGCCATTGGGGGTGATTTGGGGGTCCCTGCTGCCTCCATGAGGGCGCTGGGGCCTCTTTGGGGTGGGGGAAGGGCCAGGTCCTGCTGAGCTGAGTTGGTGCCTGTCCAGGTAGGGGTGCGCACAAGACAGGAGCATCGGAGGGCAGCCCTTCACCAGGGCTAAAGTCTCAGTCAAAGGAGGGAATGGGGAAGGGAGACCCTAGAGGAGGTGGCCGGGGTCAGAAGGAGAGAGCAGGGCCCCAAGATGTGAGATGTGTCCAGGAAGAGAGTAGAAAGGAGAGGAATTCCAGGCTCTGACCCCAACCCCCTCTGCCCTGCTGGAGGAAGTTGCAGGACCTCCCATCACTCACCCAGTGTCCTGCAGCCTCAAACAGCAGCTCACAGACCCCGGGCCTCTGGGCCGCCTCTGGTTCCTTGGTCCATGTTTGCAGTTATAACTTGTTGCTGGCCCAGAACCCCAGGCCCTGCAGGCTGGCCAAGGAGGGAGGGAGAAAGGGATGGAGGCAGAGCAGAGGGAGGGAGGGAGGGCGGAGGGGGCGGGCTGAGCTGGCTTCCCACTTCCCCTGCTCCCTGCTCCCTCCCCTCCAGCCTCTGGGTTCTCCGGAGAAAAAGGGAGCTGAGGATTTCCTTGGCTTAACTCTCTGGTGGTCCTAGAGGGTCTTGTTTCATTCAGAGACCCCATAAAGCTCCAGCAGGAAGGGGTCTGAGGCCCCTGATGGGAAGTTGAGGCTGGGAAGGGGGAAGGGCAGGGAGCCCCAGAAGTTGCTCAGGAAGGGAAGGCAGTGCTGGAATCCCCATGCCGGGGGCTCCAGCCTAGGCTGAAGAGCTTGTTAGTTCTGAGTCACTGGGGCAGGCGGCACGGAGGGGGCACGGGCACCAGCCCAGTAGCCTCAGGTTCAAATCCTGGCACTGGCACCCACTGGCCAGTCCCTTCCCCTCTCAGACCCTAGTTGTCTGTAGAACTCCAGTCCCCAGCCCCATCCGTGCCAGTCACAGGAGGAAGTTTAGTAAACGTTTGCTGAGTGAAGGTCTCACCTCCTCTGAGATCAGGTAAGAGTATAGGTAAGGGTGGCAGCCAGGTCAACAGCCCCACCTCCAATGGACACCAAAGTCCTCCTCCTCCGCCTGGAAATGCTGCCGTGATTATCCATCTTCCTGGCCTTCTACAGCCAATCCACCTGTGGAAATGACCCCCAAGAAGGCCACAGGAGGGCAGCCCGCACAGAATACGCCCCTGGGCCTCTGCTTCCTTCTGGTTAGGCTGCAGGAGGCTTTGCAAAGGCTGCAGTCCTGGTTCCCTGGGGTCAGAGACCCCTGTGCAAAGACTCTCTCAAACATCCCTCGCCCTCTAGCACCCTCTCGTTCTACATTTGTTGAGTACCTACTGCCTGGGCCAGGCTTCACCTTTGCAGGGGTTTTTGGGAGCCAAAGGGTATTTACATGCATTTTCTTACTCTTCTTGGGAAAGGGAGCTCGCGGTGGGAGCTGATGTGACTTTCACAGGGTCACACAGTGAAAAGGAACCACAGCCCTACAGGACGGAAGTGCTCTCCGTCCTACCCGAGTTCCCACGATGGCACAGCTGGGCACGGCTGCGGGCAAAGGTTGCAATTCAGGGCCTGCCCCCTGGGCAGAGAGAGGTGGTGACATTATCGCTCTCAGGAGGCACAGGAACGCAGCGACCTAGGGGGACTTATTGAAGTCTGGGGCTTTGGGCACTAACCCCCAGGCCCCACTCACAGCTGGGCAGTGTGGAGGATGGAACAGCCCTGGCTGTGTGTCCTTGACCATCTCCCATCTCTTAGCTTCTGGTTTTTTATTACTTTGGGGGATAAACACACAGCAGAATATCCAGGCCTGGAAGGACCCTTAGAGATGATCTAATCCAATTCCTGAATCTGTCCAGCAGGGACACTGTGACCAGGGAGGGCAGGGAGTCTTCGGCTCAAGGTCAAACAGCAGACTGGAGTCCACGTTGGGATGAGAGCCAGACTCTCCCACCTTCTAGTTTTGTGCTGCTTCCGCCTCCCAACCCACTTGGAGTACCCCACTCTCACCCCAGGCCTGCTTAGGGGTTCAAGGGGCCCCGAAGGAAAGCAGATGGAAGGCCTAAGGACACTGGGAAAACTGTCAGGTCCACACTGGCTGTGCCCTCTACGTGGCCCTGCCCCAGGCAGCATTCCCAGGGCACTGAGCCAGGGCTGCAGAGGGAGGGAGGCGAGGGAGCCCCCTCCCCACCCTCGCCTCACTGCTGCCTCCAGCGGGAAAAGGGCTGACTCAGCAGCACGGGGGCAGGACACAGCTCCGGGCTGCCTCACAGAGACCTGGCTTAGGAAGCCTAGCATCGGAGGAGAAAGGGAAGAGAAGGGAAGACGGATGGGGGATGTGGAGAAGCAGGCTGGGGACACAGAAGTGGTTTGGTCCAGGGCCCGTTGTGTGCTCCCTGCCACGCTCAACAGCCCCTCTGCGGAGAAGGAGCCTCATCTCACTTGACAGGTGAGGTCTGGAAAAGCACATGATTCTCATCAGGTTCTAGGACCAGCTCCTTTGACTCCCAGCCAAGGTCAATGCCCCAGAAAAGGGTCCCTTATCCCCCTTGGTCCAAGGCAGCTGGCTGGGGGCAGGGCAGACAAGAGAGTAGGACTCAGGAATATTATACACTACTCTAACATTTTTCCTCCCTCTCTCTTTCACCATGTCGCAAATTACCCCATTTGTGCATCAGCCCTTGGTCTCCCAGCCATTCTGAGGATCTCCCCAGCAGGCCAGCCAGGCAGCGTGGAGACAGAGACCCAGCCCTGGGGCAGACGAAACTGGGTTACGTCTCAGCTCCACCTCCTTCTGGCTTCGTGTCCTTGGGCATGTCTCCCTACCTCTGAGCCTTGGTGACCCGAGGCCAGAGGAACGTGAGGAGGCCAAGAGCATCTGAGCAACCTGGTGGGAGAACCAGTGGGGGTGCTCTACACCGGCCACCAAGCACCGTTTCTCCCGGGTTAAACCCTGAATATGGTGAGCCCATTCTCCTCATGCACACAGATGAGACACACACTCCCCAACTCTCAGAACCAAGCTCCTAGCCACGTCCACCTTCCAGCCCAAGGTTGGGAAGAAGATATAAAAATAGTGACGTTTAGTCAGTGCTTACAAAGCACCAAGAACTCTTCATGCATTTTTAAAAAATAAAATGTGTGCCTGTCATAAAGTGAGACAGAACCCAAAACATGATTCCCGGAGTCAGCTATGCAAGTCGTGTTTGGCTAATGACCTAATTGTTCTAGGACGATAATAAACTAAACAAAGGAAACCGGGAGAGGCTATGCGCCTGGCACCACCCCATTCCACCACGGGCTTGTGATGCCCCCCGCCCGTCCCCTTCTTAGGGAGCTAAGGAGGGGAGAAGGGGAAAGACGAAGGGCCCACTAAGACGTGCTAGGGGCTGGCTAGGGCGCCCGTTCCCTCACTTCTTCCTCCAAACCCCACTTCCTGCAAAGTGGGCAGAGGGTCCAATGGGACCCTCCCTCTCCAAGGCAGCTCGCTCACTCGGCTTCCTGGCTCTGCATACCCCTCCTTCGACTAGCTGGGTCATCCCGGGTGAACTTCGCTCTCCGGACTCAGTTTCTGCGTCCTGGGCTTTTCAGCAACCCATGTCTGTTCCGACGGGTGTTAATCCGAGTTGGGCGAGTTTAATCCCATTTTACAGAAGGGGAAAGAGAATCCCCAAGGGGCCCAGAGAATGAAAGAGCCAGCCCCATCCCAGTCCTCCTGGACCCTGACGAGGACCCTGTTGTTACAGAGTGGGAAACTGAGGCTCAGGGAGACAGATGAAGCAACTGGCTCCCTCCCCACGGCTGACTAGTGGCAGAGCCGGATGATGGGGTCGCCAAGGCACGCGAGAGGCCAGCGCCATCCTCCCCGCTTCCCTCCGCAGAATTAAGGGGAGCGACTCCCACCCTCAAGCCGGGGAAGCCCCTCCATGCCCACCCGCTTCGGGCTCAAACCCTGGGAAAAGATTGCCGCCAGCTGCAGCCACTTTTGGCACCACCTAGGGCTCAGCCAGACCAGACCCCCGCCACGGAGGAACCCGCCGGCTTGTGGACGGAGGGAGCGGCTCTGCTCCGGCCACCGCGCCTCTATCCGGGAAGCAGACAGCGAGACGAGAGGAAAGAGCCGCTGGGGCGCCGGGGAGGGGCCTTTGCGAGTCCAGCTCCCGGCGGAGTCGAACAGAACCGAGCAAAGCCGAACCTGGCCGAGCAGAGCCGAGTCCGGCCGAGACCAGCGTGTCCGTCCGATTATCGCCGGGTCTGACCGAGTGGATCCGACTGGTGCCGAATAGAGCCGAGTCCGGCTGAGCGGAGCGGCTGAGGGCGCCAAGCGGAGAGGGGAAGGTTACGCGGCGCCCCCTGCCGGCCACAGAGCACAGTGCTGGCGTCGGCCGGAGCCAACCCGCCGCCTCCCGGTCCTGCGACAGCCCTGTGAGATGGGGCTACCGAGCCCATTTTATGGATGAGGAAACTGAGGCTCCAAGAGGATTTTTGAGGCTGGCCCAAAGGCACGCAGAGCTAAGAAGTGGTGGCTGTGAGGCTCGAAATGGATTGTGTGGCCGTGAGCTCACCTGCCACACCACCCATGTCAATGGGCATTGTGTGTTTGCTTTGTTCTCCCCATAATTGCTGCCATTTATCATGGTCAGCAAGGAGGAAGGACCCACCCTGTCTGATGAGCGGGCAGAAGGCCCGCGCCAAGCACAGAGACAGCCCCTCGTCTCACAGATGGTGAAACCAAGCAGGCTCTGGGCACACTGACCAAGTGCAGCAAGGCCAGCAGTACCTGTGTGCAAATATTGACATATTTCCTGGTCATTAACGCAGAGAGCAGGACCGAGAGGCCCCGTACTCCTGCAGGCCTCATGTTCCCTTCCTGTTAACAAGATGGCCAGAGGGCAGGAGCTCCTGGCTGTGTACAGGCTGTGTCCCTGGGCTGTGTGAGCCAGGACCTGGGGTGTCTGGGACCCTGGAGGAGGCCAAGTGTGGCCCCGGGCACTTTCTTTGATCCTGTGAAAAAGTGAACTGGCCTTGCTCTCCGTGCACACGTATGTGCGTGAGTGTGTCATTGACATTCACTCCTGTGTACACACCACCTTAGCCTGCCAGGCAGGCCTATGCCGAGGCTGCAGGGCTCGCTGGAGGGTGCTCACAACAAGTGAGTAGTGTCAGAGGAAGCCAACGGTCAGACTGCATTAGCGGGAGCAGCCGCCCTTGCTGGCCAGGGACTCCTGGGGTTGGTCCAGCTTGATGTCGATCATCCCTTCTTTGCTTTTCTCCTGGACGTTCTCCATTCCAGGCAGAGCCGAGGCCACACGTCGGAAGATCTGCTTCACGTTGTAGCCGGTCTTGGCACTGGTCTCGATGAACGCAGC